CATAAGCAAATAAGCATTCATACAGCCCTAGACAGGCAGTCGTATGGTCTTATTGAGGCAGTTAGTCATTTCTGAGTAATGTGATCTCCTTGCTGGTGCGCGATACACCGAAAGAAGTCTGTACGTTGAGTGCACTGGCTATTCGTCACTCTCTCATTGGTGCTGTGGGATCTAATGAAAAAACAGCATCCAATGAAAAAAAGCTACCACTTTTGCCCACAAATAAATTTCAAATTCTACACATGTCTGAACACACATGCATGTATCTCTACGATTGAAATGCCAATTGTATTTGTGTATACTAGTGAAAATCAGTGAGTTAGTGTATATACTGAATGTTCCTGAGCGGATGCATACGGAATGCAGCAGTTGAACCGCACGCGGTTTATCAAGGGCTGATAGATGAAATCAAAACGTACTATCGGGAGCAATGTGAGCATAAAATCACACCGAATTTTCTATTTGTAGTTCTTTCTCCACAAAAAACACAAAAAGGAGTGAACAATTTCAGGTAAGTCACAGAAATAAAATAGAAAAAATTCAAAGGCTAGCAGTGCGCTTCATTTGCTCGCGGTACCGGAGGACAGAATCCGTCACAAATTTGTTAAAATCATGTGCGCTAGAACCCCTGCAATTGCGCCGCGAAAATCAAAGGTTAAAACTTCTGTTTCAAATTATAAGAGGCGAAATCAAAATAAATAAAGACACATACATACAACCTGCACCCAAACGAGGAGCTCGGTTGAACCATAGTCACCCAATAAGGCCTTTTTGGGCGTGTCTGAATGGCTTTAAAAATTCTTTTTTTTTCCGTATATTATAGAAGTGTGCAATAGACTTCCAGAGTACGCTGTTACTAGCGCAAATGTCAAAGAGTTTGAGTGTTCGCTAGAATTGTACTACCGGCAACATGAAACGTAATGTCTGTTTTGTCATTGTGTATTGTTTTTGTTTTCTGTTTATATTCCTTCCTGTAATGACCCTCAAGTGAGGGTTACAGTATTAATAAATAAATAAGTAAAAAACACGGAAGTTTAATTATCACACTTTCATGCATAAAACGAAACGAAAAGAGATGTCGGCGATAGTGACTGTACTATACCAAAGCGCACCCGGAAAATAACACCAAACTTGAGGAAAAATTCAAGTGCCATGAAAACACTTGGGGTTACGAGTTCTCTCATTGTTCGATCGTGTCAAGGTGCAACAAGTACGCGCACAAACACATGTGTTATAACCATCCCATATCTTGCAATATTCAATCTGTGACGGTGTTACTAGTATTATACACGCAGTTCCGAAAGTACCCGACATAGCAAAGGAAAAGTGACAGAAGACAGAAAGAAAGCTCACCAAATTTAAATATTCATGCTGCCTGTTATATCCCGACACCGGGCACATGGTATCACATCTTTATTACTGAGGCGCACACTGCCAGCCTCAACACAAGCAGTACAAAACAGAATAACACCCTCCAGATACAGTTGACAGTATATGTACACACGCTATCTCTCGGCGCATGCGCAACTGGCAGTAGCTTGAGAGCATGCATACAAACCCCGCGACTGACGTCACAACACTTCCTTCACGCACAATTTTAGAAACTATCATAAGTCAGGCGCTCAGGTGGGCGCCGTTGCCTTGTGCTACGTCGTAAGGGAACCGGCTGCTCACGATTTTCGGGAAGTCAGTCTCGTGGGTGACGACGAATCTGAGCTTTGGTTGGTCGTCGATGTAGCATTTGTGATGTCCGATCCATGTGGTAGTTCCACTTCCGGTGGTGGGTCCTGTTGTGCCGTCGGTTCGATGTCCGATGGTCGCAAGTGGTCCGCGTGCACAAACCACACTGTTTCGCACATGCACTAAATACGTCGAAGAAGATTTCACACACGTCACTTCTCCAGGCCACCAGTTCACAAGTTGCCCACGCACAGAACGCACCAGTACACGATCACCAACAGCAAACACTCAATGTGAACCTCGGAGCCTGTCAGCAGACTTTTTTATTTCTGCGGTCTTAGCTCTCATCTGATTTGTTACGTCCGGGCGCAGCAGCGACAATCGGGTCCGCAGCTTCCTTCTCACAAATAATTCAGCAGGGGTTCTTCCCGTGAAAGTGTGAGGTGTGGTTCGATAACAAAACACGAAGTTATCTATCCAGTGTTGCAGTGTTCTGTTTGTGCCCTTTTCCGAGTCTTCTAGCACTTGTTTGAGCAGTGCTTTTTTTTGTTGTCTGAACTGCGCGCACCGCCGCACCGTTAGACTGCGGATGGTACGGCGGCGTTATTGTGTGCCTCACACCATTAGCTCTAAGGAATTCTTTGAACTCAGTTGCCCGAAACTGCGGCCCGTTGTCCGTCACTACCTCCAGCGGAAGGCCATGCGCCGCGAACTATGAACGCACTACTTCAACGGTCTTCGCCGCGGTGGTTACACTCATTATCTTAATTTCAAGCCATTTGGAATAGGTGTCGATAGCGAGGAGAAACATCCTTCCCTTTTCTTCAGCGAAGTCTAAATGCACACGCTCCCACGGATTCCGGCATATTTGCCACGAGGACAAGGGTACGGGTTGAGCTGCAGGGAGAACCGTTTGGCATATTGCACATTTGCGCACTGTGATTTCGAGGGCTTTGTCCATTCCCGGCCACCATACTACTGACCTCGCTAATGCTTTCATTCGGGTTATACCTAAGTGCTGCTCGTGCAGCAACTGCAAAACATTCTTGTGCAATGATTCCGGTACTACCACTCTGCTTGTCCATATAACGCACCCGTTGTCTACACTGAGCTCGAGCCGGCGTACCCAGAACGGCTTTAGCTGCTCCGACACGGTCTTGGGCCATCCATGCCAGATCATATCGCGTACAGCCCTCAGCACTTTATCGCATCCTGTTTCTCGACTGACATCATTTGACGTTAAAGGCAAGTCGTTTAGTGCTGAAAAGTAGAAGATTTCTTCGCACTTGCTACCTGTGTCAGGTAACGGTAAACGAGACAATGCGTCTGCATGCTGGATAGCTGATCCTGGTTTGTGTTTGATTCTATAGGTGTAGTCGGCCAAAAATGTCAGCCAACGATGCACTCTTGTCGTGGCTACTGCACTGCCCTGCCGTTTAGGGTCAAACAAAATTGTCAAAGGTTGGTGATCTGTTATTATGCTAAAGGGCCGTCCGTAAAGGTACTTATGAAATTTTTTTACAGCAAACACAATACTAAGTGCTTCTTTCTCAATCTGCCCATAGTTACGTTCGGCCGCTGATAATGACCGCGAAGCAAAAGAAACCGGCTTTTCCTCACCGTTCACCAAGTGCGATAGCACAGCCCCTAACCCGTAATCAGAAGCATCACATGTGATCCAGATTTCTGTTTTTTTACGTCATACAACTGCAACACAGTCTTATCAGTCAACAGTTCTTTGCATCTTTCGAATGCTTCATTACATTCGCGTGACCAGTGCCATGTAGTTTCTTTTCGCAACAAGTTGTGCAGTGGTTCCAAGATCGATGCTAAATTTAGCAAAAAGTTTCCGTAGTAATTAATCAAACCTAAAAAGGCCTTCAACTGACTCACGTTAGTGGGCCTTGGCGCTTTTCTGATAGCTTCAACTTTTTCCGCTGTTGGGTGTAAGCCGTACTTGTCGATCTCGTGTCCCAAGTATGTGACGCGTTGCTGAAAGAAGCTGCATTTCCTTGCGTTCACTTTTACGCCGTGTTTACTTAGGCGTTGAAAAACTTGCTCCACCCTTTCATAACACTGCCCGTCGTTCTCACCAGCGATGACTACATCATCAATGTAGCACGCGGTTCCAGGCAGATTACGCAGTATCTGGTCCATGACCGCCTGGAAAATAGCTGGTGCGCACGCTACGCCATACGGCAAGCGGCGGAATCTAAACAGACCTAGGTGGGTGTTAATAGTGAGCAGTTCCTGCGCTTGTTTGTTTAGTTCGAGTTGCAAGTACGCTTTTGAGAGATCTATGATAGAAAACACAGTTCCACCCTGAAGATTTGCGAATATGTCTTCAGGAAGTGGCAAGGGATACTGATCGACCTTGATGGCTGGGTTTACTGTGACGCGATAGTCGCCACATAATCTCAGTTCTTGAGTGTTCTTTTTTGGAACAATCACAAGAGGCGTTGCCCATGGACTACGTCTGACCTTATATATGACTCCAGTATTTTCTAGCTTGACGAATTCTTGTTCAACGCGCTCGCGCAAAGCGTATGGCACTGGTCGCGCTTTCATAAAGACAGGGCGCGCGTCATCCTTCAATTCAATGCTGCATTCGAATCCCTTAATTGTACCAAAACCCTGCGCCAAACACTTCGGGAAATTTCTCAGCAAGCAATGCCTCCTTAGCCACCACATTTACTGAAAATACTTCCTGCCAATTTATTTTGATTTTAGAAAGCCAATCTCGGCCAAACAACGTGGGAATTCTAGCACCCTGCGTTTCTTTCGCTATGACAAGTGGCAGTTCGAAACACTGGTCTTGGTATTGCACCTTTACATCCATAATACCAACAGTAGGGACCGTCGTGCCATTGTACGTGGCTAGTTTGACATTTGCTTGCCTGCAAATGCGTTTCGGAAGTGTTTAGCACACTCTGTTTCTGACATTATTGACACCGCTGCGCCCGTGTCAAGTTCCATGGGTATCACTTCATCATTTATGCAAACCTTGATTACAATGGCGGGCATACCTTCTTTGTGGTTCGTATTATACAGAGATAGCAGTTCGTTAGTATTTTCTTTCTCGCATTCTTCGCTCTCTACTCTATTTACAAGCTTAGATTTGCACATTTTAGCAACATGACCCCTTTTTGTACACCTATAACGGGTATGTTCAGAAATCGGCAACTCACGGGTGAATGCTTTCCTCCGCAACGATGACACATTCTTTTCGTTTGTTCTTTCGCTGCCCAATTTTCCTTGTCCCAGCTGGACTGCGTCGGCGCTTCCCTCGAAGGTGCTTTACTCGGTTGTGAGATTTTCCGTTACCAGTAGATGTCCTCCGTTTCTACAGCTGCTCCTTTAGAACTGGTTTGCTGCATTTCTTTCGTGTCTTGTGTTGCCGCTTCCATGGCCATGGCTACGCTGCATGCGCGTTCCCACGTTACTTCCTCGTCTGGCATTGCCAATAGCCTGCACCGTACTCCCTCGGTACGTATTCCAGCGACGAGCCGGTCACGCAATGCTTCGGTCAAAAAGGCACCGAATTTGCATCTTGCCGCGAGTTTCTTCAATTCGACTATAAAGTCTGCGACAGTCTCATGCGGCTCTTGCTTTCGCTGGTGAAAATGATACCTTTCGGTGACCACGGAGTGCTTGGGAGCATAATGCTTCTTCAGAACGTCAACAACTTCCGTGAATGACGTCTTAGCTGGTGTTTTAGGCAGCAGCAAGCTCCGAAGCGTGACGTAGGCCTTCTCACCTATAGCCGTGAGAAAGATTGGAAGCTTCTTGTCTTCCGCGATGTCATTGGCCGCGGTAAATACTTCGAACCGCTCCAGGTATACCTCGAAGTTACCTTCCTCTTGTTGGAACTCGGGTAACTTACCGACAGTGGTCGCCATACTCAGTTCAAGCTGGTTAGAGTGGGATTCCTAGAAGCCTGCGGCGGCTCCCATCCTCGTCGCCAGTTGTTATATCCCGACACCGGGCACATGGTATCACATCTTTATTACTGAGGCGCACACTGCCAGCCTCAACACAAACAGTACAAAACAGAATAACACCCTCCGATACTGTTGACAGTATATGTACACACGCTATCTCTCGGCGCATGCGCAACTGGCAGTAGCTTGAGAGCATGCATACAAACCCCGCGACTGACGTCACAACACTGCCTATACGAAAAGAATTCTTCGGCTGCAACTTGTCCTTCTTTATTCCCACCCTAAAAAAGTTTTCTTTTAAAATCACATGGGAAAGGGAACATTTTCCATCCATGTAAAATGGTTCATCGACAGTGTGGCACGCAAAACGAAGTAACCTTGTGGCACTTGCTACAAATCAGACGGGTGACAAGGCAGCAGGCGCTGCGTGCGCGTTGAAACAATCGTGGTCGAGCAATAAATAGCACGGCGGACGCGTGCTGCGAGGCAGCGTCTACTCTTTCAAATTATGACCGCGCTCGTAACCCATATACGCCTGAATTTTAGGATGTTAACAAAACAATTTTTTTCGCAAAATGATAGCTCTTAGGGTTTCAGAGAAAAGAATAAAACTTATATTCCCAAGAAAACTTTTCTATTAATGATTTTCGCACCGTCCTGCATATAGGACACTAGGCACATAAATCCTGTTCTGTCACTTTGGAACGTGTACTCCGTGTAGCAATACTTACTTAGTTGAACGATTTAACTTGAAACATTTTGCATACACTGTGACGTCACATTTTTTAAAACGTGTGGTGGCCGATGAGCGCGCCTCGTTTTCTTTCCTTGAGGGATCACCTAGTTTTCAGTGCGGTCAAATCAGAATTGTGCTTACAACCTAGATAGGCTGCTTCTTCCACGCAATGGCTTAGAGCCATTGCGTAGAAGAATGTCGTACTTTATGTGCGACATTGCTACTGCCCTTAAGAATAATCAGGTACGTTTTGTCTGTTCCCTTTCTATACAGCTGAAATGCGTTGCTAAAACGTGCATCAAGAAGATACGTTGGCAGTGATGACTATCACTTCATACTCTTTCGTGACAGTGAGGCCCTTTGCAATATTTTGGTCCAGTCGGTCGATCTCATTCATGTCGGCATTATATTTGGCAATCAAAGAAGGCAGCTCTGCTGTCACCTTGGATCTCTTCTAACTAGATTATCTTTTCCCCAGTTACTGCGATTCAAGCCCATGATCATTCGACATCACGAAGCCATGATATCGTTCTTCCGATGGCATACAACGATTTGTTACACGGTGTCGACTCTGTAATCATAAAAGCCTCGAAACTTTGTTTTTATTTGTTTCTGCATGCCTTCTTCATTACCGCTTTAATGCCCTGTAATGGCACCAGCATAATTGTCAGGCGGAAGGATCGTGACAACTGAAGACACATCATCGCCAGTGGCCATACGATTCAAGATGTTGTTTAGCATCTGCGGGTTTTTTTATGAGTGAAATGAACTGCAGGTAACCTCTTAAGTGTACATAAAATAGGAACATGATTGTACTATACACCCATATAATTGTTATAGCGTTACGACAAGCTTCACGGGCACGACATAATATGTGTTTCAAATATACACCGTGCTACACCCCATGTGCTTAGGGTCCTATATGTAGGACACCAATGTTGGACAGGCCGTAAACAATAAGCTTCACCGCATATCACAGTCATACATATTTTACTGCACACTCAATAAATGACAAACATTACACAAACATATTGGCAGAATCACGAACAATTTTATCTATACTACTTGCACTTTCTTTCGCGGCATGGTGCTCTGCTTCACGCACATGAAACAACAATTTCGCGACTGTGCTCACTAGGCTACTGATGGCCCGACAATAGCCTAGGCTTGTACGTGAGAAGGGCTGGGCATCGCCAACACACGCCCTGTTGCGCAAGCTTTTTTTACAGAAAAAAAACGTTTGGTTTACAATGAAGAAATTAAGCGTCCTACTTGTAGGACACCAGGTATATATGTATCAAGGAAGCGCGCACATCAAAGCCCTCCACACAACTGCCCCGGTGACTGGATGAAAAAGCGCACGTTTTTTCATCCTTGCGCGTGCCTCTGCTCAGGGTGCTGCCACCTTTTGTACTGTTTCTCCCGCCATTGCAGTGCCTGCAGCGTCTTCACCAAGCTGTAGAGCTCACGTGCCGGTTTTCTTCGGCATGTTTTGCATGGATGTTGAGTTCTCCAGGACTGCAACTATTCGTGTTACGTTAGTGTACCACTATGCGCCGGAGCAACATCTGTATGCAGCGGGAGTAATAATGGCAGCTTCCAAAGATGTTTTGACTCTTAGTGACAGAGCGGGCATGGAAGCACTCATCACTGCGTGAGATTTCAGTGCCATCTGGCGATAATCTCAGAAAAAGGAAAGATTTCCAACGGTGCAGAGGATTCTCCGCAGCGGCACCTTACACGCTGCCTTGTTTGATCACATGACCATAAACTGGTCATTTCCCAGCCAGTTGTCCAAGCAAACGCATTCGGCCAGCGAAGCGGCCGTGGCCGTAAGAGCCGATAGATGGGGTTAGAAGGGAACATGACAGCACTCGTGCAGACGTGACCACCCGCTTCGATCTAAACTCACGCTTGCTACTCACCAACTGTCAACACAGCAGTGAATAAATGGTCAAATATCATGCCGTTTTGTGTCACCATCAAGAGAAACAGCGCTGAATGGATTTTCAAAATCGTTCACTCCGTCGTTCAGAGAAAATGGTGGTGACAAGAAATTCTGGACTGAGGCACTCTTTGACCCAGTTTAATGAGCAGTGATATGCATGGTTGTCTAAACGTCATATTATGTTATAGTATAGCAAAGATTTGTTTTCGTGTGTTTGTCTTACGCACATTTCCGTTTAATAAATATGTCTTCATTCCACTGTTGACATAGCCCGTCAAAAATACCACTTCAGTGAATAAGATGAAATGAAATAAGGACACCCTTTCCAGCGCATTCATTGCTTACGACGCTTACACTTGAATTTAGAACGCCGTTAGTGCTGTGAATAAATTATCAATCTTCCTTAACAGTCGCTTGCTAACAAACTGGCTAAAAATATATTAGAACTAAAAGCTTGTACTCAAAAACTGTGGTGTCGTGCTCTGCAGCGTACGGGGCTGTTCCGACAGGAAACGTGCTGACCGCAAGGCGCGTTATACGTTCCTGTCAAAGCACCCTTACAAACGTGGCACCTTGTCACTCGAAGCCATATGAGAGAGTGAAATGAAGAAACCAGGGTCATTCATTGCCTAACCCAGTCGATGTGTCGTTTAATTCGCATGCATGCATCGGCGCCTGTGGTACGCTGTTCAACACAATAACGTCATATTATGTTATATGCTAATAGTTTTTGTCAGTGTAGGTCTGGCTTGGTACCAAACAAGTTGTTAAAAGTACCTGCTGTCACTTTGTTGATTGCGTAATTGTATATTTTTTGTTTTATTTTGCTCCCGCTCATTGTTGCGGTTGTTTTGTGGACGTATTTGCGTATGTTCTCGCATTCTTTTATTTGTTCTGCCCGCTCCTGCCAAAGGCCTTTTTCAAAGGCTGGCAGTAAATCTGAAAATAAAAATAAAATAAATAAATAAATAACTGTGTGTGCGCGCTCGTGTGCGACCCATGCAATATTTTTCATGCTATAGAGCTAGAAAGTTTGTTTCGTAAAACTTCTGGCGCTATTTGTTGTCAGCGAAAAGCCATCATCTTGTCAATAACCGGAAAAAGCGAGCAAGAATAAAATAAAATATTATTAAACCTTTTCCGGGTCCAAGTGAGCAACGAGCTCAGGTTGTTCGCGTGGCAAGCAGGGCTTCTACAACGCAGCTGCGCATATGCTTAAAAATGCAGTTAGTATAACATCCTTTGCTGGGAAATGCAGTAAAAGTAACGTTCATGCTTGACAATCATACATGTCTTGTGTACAGGCTTCACAATACAGCATGTATTATCGCAGTATTATTGCGTGTTATACAAGCCCACATTGCCTTCAGAGAAAACATGTAGTTACCCTAAGGGCTTCATGGTTTAAAGCCTGCGATAATTTGAAAAAAGGCTCATAAATTACCGTGTGCATTATTTAGGACCCTTTGGTGGATTCGTATAGGTGTGAAAAAATTTCACGAGCACATTTGCTCATGGTATAAAACGTGCTGCTTATTATACAGAATGCAGTCATTTGCGAAAGCGTCAATGACCCAAGCCACTTGAACTTTATCGATAGCACTGCAGTATTAACAATTTGAATTTTTCTAGTAAAAATATACAATAAAAAGTATGAACTAAGTGGTTGAAGTACGCACTAAAGACTGGATACCGCTATCGGTTTCTCTTAATTTTTCTACTTATGGTAAAAATCAGAAACGCTAATATAAATATGTGATTATCAGATGTTGTAGGACTGAGCATATTGAGCAAATGAAATATAGTTATCTAATTACTTCACCCCTTCTCCTCGCTCTCAAAACGTATTTCTTTGATATGATGTAGCAATTGAGATGTCTGGATGTTATACTTTCCTGTATAAAAATATAGATATACAGTGGTTTGGAACCTGGTTGTAACGAACGTGCGTAAAGAATAGGGCAGGCTGCTGACTATTTTTCACCTTTGAAACAACTGAATTTCCTTCTTCACTGAGGTGCGTACACCACAAGTTCTAAGAGTGGGAAAGGACCTTGAGGCAACGGTGAATCTTCGAGTGCAGATGTACTGCTCGCATCACCGATGGCCGGTCAACCATGAAACTCATGGAGTCTGCAAAAGCAGGAGATAATGAAACGCCAACGCAAGTCCCTTTGCATCCACATTTATTCGAGTGGCCGCAAAACCCGAAGGCTTCACTATCAGAGAGCCCACTATAGTGTACTTCATATCGGCACTCTTTTTGTTCTAACTGCGGATTAAAGCGGACCTGAAAGAAGACATCTCACAGCTTCACACTGCAATCATGAAGGCACGCATAGAGGATGGAGTTGTATATTCGCCGTATCCCGAAATCGACATTCCAATATGCTCTGTCTACAGTGCGATCAGCAAATTTTTGTCCATGCAACCAGGAAAGTTAGCCGTCGTAAGTACTTTTAGAATTATGCTTCGAATGCACCCGCTCTTGCAGTCCTTTTAAATTTGAAAGTCTTATGTCGCACAGAGAAACTTCATGCTTGCTCTTATTTGCGTTCAATCTAAATCTAAACGTCGTCATGTTTTCTTTTTTCACTTCCAAAAGCGAATAAACACCCTCGCTTGACATTTCTATGCAATTTGGAGTTGCTTTTGGCTATTTTTAACCAGCAATTGTAATACTAAACAAAAAACTGGCCGTCAATAGTGAATTATACATCTCATGCCTCTAGTGATTCGACAGGAAAACTGATAGGCGATCAAAAGATATGTTCGATAGGAGCTGGTGTGAAGCTTATAAAACTTGGCTAAATCGATACTATGACACCGTAATGCATGATGTTTCTTCTTCAAATTCGCAACTGTAAAATATGCTCTGTTTCCGGGGAACAGTGGTTCAAAACATGAAAATGGAAGCGCAACAGTGTCAACGCGGCACTTCCGCTTGGCGCAGTACTGAGGTTTCTTGACTGTGGCATCCGACCGCGTTGCTTCGTCGAAGGTGAAAGGTAGTTGGCCCCGGAAAACCTTACTCTCCTCGTCATAAAGATTTAACTCGCGAAACAGCGAAAATAGTGGAGCTGAGCGCGCAAACATTGAGCCTTCTCGGTAAATGGTATCAGATTTGCTTTTAGTTGAAGAAGCTATCTAGCGAGCGTGATGTTGAAGAAGGTAACTGCTCGTGTGTAGCGGGCCTGTCTGAAAGCTCAGTTACCATTTTTGCGCTGCGTTGCTACAGTGCTACAGGTAAACCCTTAATTGTTTTCGAGGTAACTATGCGGCGACTCGTGCTGCCGATTGCATGTATCTCATTGAGTCTTCTTGTCTCGTCAAAAGCAAAATACGCCTGTCCTCTTGATCGCAGAACGTAGCTATGCCTGGGCCAGTGTACCTCGAGACACGGCAAATCGTAGTCTCTATTGTAATTGTTATGAAGTTTTCAAAGAATAAGGTCGTGTACTCCCGCATAGTCGCTTGTTCCAGTTGGCGGCATATTTGGTATTGAAAGCAGATACGCACACTAGATACGCACACTATGCACGCTATATATATATATATATATAAGCAGAAACATACACGCGCGCTCCGCACGCGCGTTTGTGTGCATGCATATACAAACATTTGAAGTCAAAATTAGCTGAATTTGAGAATGAGTATCACCGTGACTTGCAAAAAAACAAGCATATGCGAAAATTAGAGTGACACACGTAACACGTAACGGCACGAATTTTCTGAAACACTTGCTTTTGTTAACAAAATTACACACCATGTTTAGAGATTGTGGGTATCATTTAAAAATGCACGCACGCTAAATAATCGTTTACTCATGGAGGAGATTTAGGTCGTCATGGGCGGATTGGTTAGAACAAACTACTGCAGTGTCCGTCACCTTTTTCCCATGCCTAAGTTTCTGATTTGCGCCATTCTCTGTCGCCTGTCTTCTGCATCTTTCAAGAAGTTATATACCGAAGCGTGGCCATCTTTTCACAGCGATGCCATTCAACGCGGTGCTCTTCAATGAATTTTGGATAACGCTTTCATCTCTTTCGGGCTCGCGTGCCCGGCTTGGCGAAAATAGAGGTACTAAGTGGCTGCTTCTCAATGTGAGAAACATCGTAACATATCTTCTTTTTAGGTTGACCCTGTTAGCGCCATTTCCCGGTGTGGCTGCCTGGTGGCGAGCGCTTAGTTGAAGTCACGAATAGCTAGCGCACTTGCTCAAGCTGCAGGTCTTAGACAATGGGTTTTTCTCGCTGCTTCTTTGTGCGTAGAAGGTCACTTGCTCTGCCAGTGGCCCCAAGTACACAAATTATATATTGCTACCCCAGGTGAAGACTGGATTTTGTCGTTCAACTTGATCCTGCCTACGTTAAACGACTATTTGTTTATACCACCACAGGCCAAAAGTGTAAAGCAAGTCGAGTGACAACAATACTGAAGCCAGTTTTAGGTAGGCAATCCTCAGGTATTTATTAAAGTTCAGTACAATGTGAACATGATTAATTGGCACGAAAGCGTGTTGTTTTGAAACTGAAATATGCCAACAAAACATTCACGTGGCGTTTCAGCCCACCTACATGAAAGGCACAGTTGTTGTGGAGGCGACCTTGCGATGTTTGATTTCGTGTTCCTGTAGAAATTCACTACACGTTGAACTGTTATAGCTTGCACTAGAAAGTAACGTTTGTGGTCCTCAACTCAACGTTACGCCATGAATAAACACTTGTCGTGTTTCTCATGCAGGTAGACGAGCAGATAAGCCTGACCCGAGGGGAATTTTTGGCGCGTATGAAGCGCTACGCGGCAGGCTTCCAAGCACATGGCCTAGGACCAGATCATCGTGTAGCAGTGCACCTCGGTAACAGCGCCGAGAACCTTACAGCGCTTTTCGCACTCACATTCACTGGTGCTTCGGTCATCCTTTGTAATCCAATACTGAATCACGGTAAGTTCTTATGCGTCATCACCACCCAAATTGATCTTTTACGGCATCGCGATTTACTGACGCGCACGCTGCTTTAAAATATATTTGCACACTATTCATTCACTGTCCCACATTTTTAAATTTATGCTTCCTGCCTACTTCTTGAAAGGAAGGCGATTATTACCACCTATTCACCCATTCACTCTAAATATGAAATCGCCTTTCACTGGGCGTTCCACAAAGCTCCAATCTCTAAAAACGGCAAATGCACGGGTGACAGAGTGCCCTACCCAAATGCTGCAGAACAGAAATTTGATTGGAAACATGTCGTCGTAAACGTACCGTCGACAAGAAGTTCGACATAAAGGCTTCGCTGTGTGCTTTGAAACATTTTAATAGACGCTAGCACTGCTTAGCTTTGGGTTATCTACCGAGATTTTGCCTGTACATAACGATGTACTACTATCTCGCACTCAGTGCCCAATGCTTCGAGGCTGGCATCAGTTAAACTAGTCCGGGTCACGTGTCGGAGTTCTCGTGTTAAGCTTGCTGATGACTGTAAATACCAAAATTCTAAAACAAATATTAGCAATGAGAAAATCAGTCAAGTAAAGCGATTGGGAAGTGTAGAACAACGGACCGTCCGTTCTGTTTCGGTTGCGAGCATTAACAGGAGACAAGAATTTTCATCGTTGACATATAGTGTTACAATTAGCGTATTACTGAAAGGGCCACTCTCTGCATACGCGAGAGCTTACATTTTTTTTATTACGGCTACTGTCTGCTTGCGAATCAACCGTAAACATTCCAAGTGAAGGAAGGCGCCATGTATTTCGGCATGAAAGTGCTGCCACGCCATATGAGTTATATACGTTATTGCGTAACAAGACAGAGAGGCAGACAGACACAGAATTTTATTGTTTCTGTAACAAGAAAGTATTTTTCTTGTCCACGGCTTATCAGTTTTGGAATGTAATTTATTTTAGTGGAGTTTTGGGAAATACCCGAACTTTATTACTATAGGGAAAATTGGACATTGTATGCCTGTAATTATTTTGATTACCGAGCATTGTCTGACCAAGGGGGTGTCTTTTGCCATCCTTGCTGCTCATGCTCCCTCCATTTCAAGTTCAAATGGCTTTGTCTACTGCATAATAATTCTTGCAGTTTGAAAGCTGTAGCATGAAATCGAGAGCTTCCGCCCACTTGTATTCTGCGGTTTATACTTGTTCGTAGTTTACAGAGAAGTGAGCATACTTGTAATGCACACGGAGTTCTTTTTGAGCTAAAGGCCTAATTGTCTTGTCATGCCACCTCTTCACCACAACAAGGCAGGCAATATGAATTTCAGTAAAAAATTTTCAGGCTTAGTTTGTACAAAGCAGTTCACGAGAAATCTTCAGCACAAATTATGATGAACAATAAAGAAAGAAGCGAAAAGCGCTGATGATTACTAACTACTGCTTAATTCTTAACTGCTTTCGCATTTCCGATGGAGGCAGAAATGCTGTAGGCCCGTGTGCTCAGATTTGGGTGCACGTTAAAGAACCCCAGGAGGTCAAAATTTCCGGAGCCCTCCACTATCGCATCTCTCATAATCTTATAGTGGTTTTGGGACGTTAAACCCCACATATCAATCAATCATTCTTAACTGCTTAACCACGCGTACAAAATATACAAGCGCGAACAGTGCTTGCTCACGCGTAAGGACAACGCATGTGCACACGCACTGCATTCGTAAAAGCCAATTTCTAACAAGGTCACGCACGCATGTAGTCACATCCAGACAGATACGATGATATATGCGTATTACTGATAATATCATTGCCTTGTTTTTTAATGTGGTAGCACCGAAAACAAGCGGTCAATGTTTGTTGTTGCTTGTGCGCATAATCAACGTCTCGCAGAATAGCGTAGCCCAGTTGTAGCAAAAGTATAGATATAAGCAACAAGATACGCTACCTAAGGAACATTCTCAGCTACTTTTCGCGCAGGTTCCCTAAGTCAGTCATTGATGCAGCACCCAGTTTTGGTCAGTGTCAACTTCAGTGTCATGATTACTATGTTTGAATCTGTCGTTTACCTCCTTCATCTATTCACGTCACGTGATACCAAATTTATTTATTGATATGTGGTGTTTAATGTCCCAACACCACTATATGATTATGAGAGACAGCGTAGTAGAGGGCTCCGGAAATTTCGACCACCTGGGGTTCTTTAACGTGCACCTAAATGTGAGCACACGGGCCTACACCATTTCCGCCTCCACCGGAAATGCAGCCTCCGCAGCAGCGATTTGAATCCGCGACCTGCGGGTCAGCAGCTGAGTACCTTAGCCACTACACCACCGCAGCGGGGCGTGATGCCAAATTTAGTATATGTGGAGCTAGCGAAACGGCCGCGAGCACACTATGAGCATGGTATGTTGTCATGTTCTTGCATGACACGCGTGTCAGGATTGTCGTGTTTGCACCAGTCATATATTTCGTCATTCAATGACATCACATAACACCAAATTTGGTATATGTGGAGGTAGCAAAACGGCCGCGAGCGCATCATGAAGGGACCAATATACTCCAATGTAGCGTTGACGCGCGCGCACGCTGGGCACAGCGACGCTACGTTAGCAAAACGCGAGCAGTCTGACGCGAGCCATGATCAGTGTCCGTCGGCGCAGCCCGACGGCAACCAGTGCGAAACGTGACATGCTGTAGTTCTCGCCGATGCGTTACCCAGACAACACTGCGTCTACCTTTTTTCGTGACGGGGGGTGCCAGACTCGCTGAAACGCGCATGCGTCAAAGCAACGCAGTGCGGCGCGCGCCTGCGTGTATATGACAGGACCAGCGACTGGCGTGGAAACGCTGGCGTTATGCAACGAAATGAACGCCGGCGAGCACGCACCACGTCACGTCGAAATGTATTGACGCCTCTACTGTGTCATGTTTTCACGTTCTCACATGACACACATCTCATGATTATAATGTTTGCACCAATCACATTACTTCGTCATCAATTAGCGTCACGTAATACCAAATTTGTCGTATGTGAAGCTAGCGAAACGGCCGCGAGCGCATCAGGAGGGTGGCATGTAGTCATGTTGTAACATGACACGTATATCGGGATTATCATGTTTGGATGTGTCATTTACTTATGTCGTCCGTTTGCGTCGCGTAATACCAAGTTTTGTACATGTGAAACTAGCGAAACAGCCGCGAGCGCTTCATGAGCGTAGCATGTAGGCACGTTGTTGCATGACACGCATCTCATGTTTATGATGTTTGCACCAGTATCATATCTTCGTCATCCATTCACGCCCCGCAATACCAAAGTAGGTATAAGGGAAGCTAGCGAAACGGCCGCCAGCATGTCATGAGCCTAGCATGTAGTCATGTTGTTACATGACACGCATCTAATTATTATCATGTTTGCACCAGTCACATACCTTCGTCATGCATTCACGTACCGTAATACATAATTTTGTATATCGGACGCTAGCGAAATGGCCGCCAGCGCATCATAAGCGTGGAACGAAGCCATGTTGTTACATGACACGCATGTCATGATTTTCATGCTAGGGTCTGTCGCTTGTGTTTGCCTTGCAATCATGTGATACCATACAAGTTTTGCAAGATGTCATGTGAACGAAACCACCGCAAGAGCTGCAGGACCTTGAAAAGTAAATCATGACATTCATGATATACATGTCAGGATTTTCATATTATGAGTAGTCAAATGTGTTTTTCATACAGTCCTGTTGTGCCATACCAAGTTTGGTATCGATATCATTATCGAAATAGCCAGGAGAGCTGGAAGTCGTAGGCAGATAGATAGATAGATAGATAGATAGATAGATAGATAGATAGATAGATAGATAGATAGATAGATAGATAGATAGATAGATAGATAGATAGATAGATAGATAGATAGATAGATACGCTCAAGTTCTCCGAAGTTCGCTAAGAAATGCTTCACATATAAAACTCTATTTTCTGGTTAATAAAACCAACGCCAAACCACCTTTTCTCTCATTCTCGCTGATCATGATTGCTTCTATGATCTCTCGCATTGCCTTATGTTTGCTTTTTCGAAGCACATATGTATTTGCGAAATCAGGATTCGGCAGTTGACGCCGGTGTATGCGCAGGGAGTGTGTGGTTATCTGGCGGATCATTGCCTCAAGTTTTGTTGTGCTCCTGATTTCGCCAATACACGTGTGCTTGAAAAAAGCAAAAATAAGGCACCGCGAGAAATTACAAAAGACTTCACGATCTTCGAGAATGCGGAAAATGTTAGAGTGACGTCAGTTTCGTTATCCGGAAACAAAGTGAGTATTTTAGAGTAAATCTTACGCATGCAGGGTGGTACCACGGGAAGTGAAAAATATAGGAAAGTACCTCAGACTGTGCTTGTGAGCATGCGCCAATGCCCGATGGTTTTTGGCCTTTTCAATAGAAATTTAGCTGATGTCTAGCGACAGTCCTTTTCAGGTGTTCCTTCCGTGTCTCCGTTCCTCTCATTTTTGCGGTACAAATATGAATGCAATTGGTTTGGCAGCCGAGATCACTACCACCGCAGTTGCGGGACCACAACCTAGGCAGCTTGTCGGGCGCAGAAAATACTGTCATGCGTGTTGTTTTTGTTTGTCTTCTTTACACCCACAAAAACTTTCAGATTTTCTCGGCGTAAGTAGTGTCTCAGAGTTCTAGAAGCTTCAATATTGTAGATCATTCTGTTAAGAGTGTGGTTTACGCGAACACTCGATGTTATTCCATAGCTCGCACGACTCCCAGTGAGAATTAAGGGTGGAAAGATGCACACCTGTTGGACAAAACTGATGTGACCCAGCCAGAGTTCTTCAATGCTTTTCCTTGTCGTGTAGCTTGGCCGTAAATTTATGGGAGAGCTTTGTGCGCATTGAGCGGTGACCACGGGGAAGCGCTGCATCACCGCGTAGGGCATTGGGTGGACCGGAAGAACGCTGGCTGCTGCTGCCGCTATGGAGTGGGTGCATAATATCT